TTAAAAAAGAAAAAAAGTAAAAAAAGAAAAAAAAAAAAAAGAAAAAAAAAAAAAAAAAAAAAGAGAAAAAAAAAAAAAAAAAAGAAAAAAAAAGTACAAAAGTCAAAAAAAGAAAAAAAAAAAAAAAAAAGGTAAAAAAGAAAAAGAGAAGTCAAAAAAGAAAAAAAGTAAAAATAAGAAAAGAAAAGGTACAAAAATGGAAGTCACAAAAAAGGTAAAAAAAATAAAAGAGAAAAGGTAAAAAAAAGAAAAAAGGTAAAAAAGAGAAGAAAAAGTACAAAAGAGAAGTAAAAAAAGGTAAAAATAGAAAAGTAAAAAGTAAAAAAGAAAGAAAAAAGGTAAAAAAAGAAAAAACTACAAAAGAGAAGTCAAAAAAAAAAGAAGAAAAAAGTAAAAAAAAAAAAGAAAAAAAGAAAAAAGAAAAGAAAAGGTAAAAAAGAAAAAAGAAAAAAGAGAAAAAAAAAAGAAAAAAAAAAAAAAAAAAAAAGAAAAAAAAAAAAAGAAAAAAAGAAAAGAAAAAAGTAAAAAAAAAAAAAAAAAAAAAAAAAAAAAGAAAAGAAAAAAATAAAAAAAAAAAAAAAAACGTAAAAAAAAAAAAAAAAAAAATTAAAAGAGGAAAAAAGAAAAAAAAAAAAAAAAAAAAAGAAAAAGTAAAAAAGAAAATCCAAAAAAAAAAAAAGGAGAAAAAGAAAAAAAAAAAAAAGAAAAAAGAAAAAGTACAAAAAAAAGAAAAAAGTAAAAAAGAAAAAAGGTAAAAAAAGAAAAGAAAAGTAAAAAAAGAAAAAAAAAAAAAAAAAAGAAAAAAAAAGTAAAAAAATGAGAAAAAAAGTAAAAAAAAAAAAAAAAAAAAAAAAAAAAGGAAAAAAAAGTAAAAAAAAGAAAAAAAAAAAGGTAAAAAAGAAAAAAAAAGAAAAAAAAAAAAAAAGAAAAAAAAAAAGAAAAGAAAAAAAAGTAAAAAAAAGAAAAAAAAAAAGTAAAAAAAGAGAAAAAAAAGAAAAAAAAAAAAAAAAAAAAGAGAAAGTCAAAAAAAGAAAAAAGAAAAAAGAAAAGAAAAAAGTAAAAAAAGAAAAGAAAAAGTAAAAAAGAGAAGTCAAAAAAGAAAAAAGGTAAAAAAAGAAAAGACAAAAGGTAAAAAAAGAAAAGAAAAAGTACAAAAGAGAAGTGGTAAAAGAAAAAAAAAAAAAAAAAAAAGAGTAAAAGAAAACAAATCTCATAAAAGTACTTTCTTATTTCATGATATGAAACCATCTATAAAGAAAGAGTCACATAGAATTCTCATATCTATTCTATATATTGATATATATTCTGTTTTCTTGAAATGATAACTAGCATAGATCAATAAAAAATACCATGTGATTGGTTTTATATTTATTGGTCATGCAGCTTAAAATAGATTCTTTCTAAGATTTAAAATCTAGTTTGGAAAACTACAGGTGTCATAATTGATTGACTGATTTTTGATGATTTATCAACCCTTCATAAAGCTGGAAGATATTTTGGATTGTAAAAATAATTCTTTTATTTTATTTATGAGTGTATATTGCATTAGCAAATACTTTGTAAAAAACAATGATATTTCCAGATACAAGTCCTACTATTTAACCCATAGTTGGGAGAAGGGATCAATTCATGCCTTTTCCATGGGTATTTGTGTGCAACTAAATGTAACAAACTCAACTGGAATTTGAACACTAACCCTCTAATTTCTCATCCTGAGACACTGCCCATTATACCAATTCCACACAATTCATGAAGCATTCTACTTAAGACATTTTAAACAATTTCAGTCTTAAGCATGTAGAGACAGTTTTAGTAATGTTTCTTTTTTTTTTTTTTTTTTAGACTTTTCTCTGTTATTAATCATTAGTCTTACCTGTCGAGTTCGTGAAACTGGTCAGTATTTACTTTGTTGAGTTGATCAACAAGTCGGTTTGTGAGTTCCTGAGCACGGCTAGCCAAGCTGACAATTGTGGGAACACTACAAAGAGAAATTAGACTTCTTTAATGTACGTATAGTTTTCAGTTGTAAGCAAATCCTCTATTTGCTTACAACAGAAAAAGGGAAAAGATTTGATTCCAAAAGAAAAAAAAAGAAACAAAAGTTTGCTTCCAACAGAAAAAAAATAAAGGTTTGCTTCTGACAGAAAAAAGGAAAAAATTTGCTTCTGACAAAAAAGATTTGACTACAAAGAAAACCTAAACAAAAGTTTTCTTCTGACATGAAAAATTCAAAGATTTGCTTCTGAAAAAAAAAAAAACATCAAAGATTTGCTTACAACAGAAAAAAAAGAAAGTTTGCTTCCATCAGAAAAAAGCAAAGGTTTGTTTCTGACAGAAAAAAAAAAGATCTGTTCCTGATAGAGAAAAGAAAACAAAAAAAACAAACAAAGGTTTGCTCCTGACAGAAAAAAAAACAAAGGTTTACTTACAGCAGAAAAAAAAGGCAAAGGTTTGATTCCAAAAGAAAAACAAAAAGTTTGCTTCTAACAAAAAAAAAAAAAAAAAAAAAAGTTTGCTTTTGACAAAAATGGTCCACATATTTTTATAATTTAGTAAATGTTTATAAATTTAAAAATAAAAAATTGTTTTAATATTTATTTTTTTATAAATTGGTAAATGATAAATATTCCATTAGTTTTAAGACAACTGTATTAATTTTTAGAATATTGTAAATATAAAAATCATTCTTTTAAATAAACAATCTAATAAATAGTTTCATATTTTTGTTGTAAATTCTCAAGAACAAAAAATCATATAAATTCATTTTCATCATATGTTTAGGTTTTATTACTAATCATGGCTCTTTAAAACAGTAAACATTGCCGAGAGGTGAAGTAATAGCAGTGTCAAGAGAAAAACCATTCTTTTGGCACACAGATTTTTTGTTGGCATGAAGGTCATAGTTTATGCTTTTTTTTATCTGACAAGTGTTGTGGTCTAAGAAACATTTAAAGAATGCAAATCTACAAAAATTATTAGCCCCCTCCAAAAAAAAAAAAACACCACAATTTTCCCTATATTTTATTAGTGAACCAGTCTATTTAAGTAGTTTTCACAATAACAAGGTACTCATATGGCTTGAGTTCACTTCGCTACTGATCTAACTTGTTAACCATTACTCTACATCTGGCCACCATTGTTGCTATCCTGCTGGCCAGAGGTATTTATTAATACTGATACTTGTTAGAAATTGGTTCTTAGTTGGTAAGCAATTGGAGCTGTGATTAACTGGTCACGCATACTAAATCAGTGATGAGAACTTTGTACTTCCCTGGGTGTTCCATGAATGTACCCTTTGAACCCAAAAATATTTATTCTGAAAAACATTTGCAGAAAGAGTAGAACTTACCAATGATCAGTTTCACTGCTGCAGCCACTGTTTAATCGGTAATCATCTGAGAAATTTTTCAGGTAGTTTCTTTGTTGTTTCTCTAACTCAACCTGTCAGAAAAATTCAATTAAATGAATGCAACAATCTAAAATAATAAACAAACATAATACCAAAGAAAGCAGACCAGAAGAAATGAAAATAAATTATAAAAAATAATCTTTATTTACACTATTTTATTTATTTATTAATTAACCCCAAGGAAAGTGATACTGCCAGTAAAGAAAGTTTGGAAAGCTTACAGGACAAACTGAAGTCAAGAGGAATAGAGATAATCCCCAAGCAACCTACATAATGAGCTTGTGTAAATGGATGGCAGAAAAAGGATTGGGAGTGATAATAAAAATGCAAACATTGCTAAAAGCTACAAAGGTTTGTTTGTTTGGTTTGTTTTACGTCATATCAACCAAAATGGGTTATTTAATGCCTACAATTTTTTTCCTGGTAATATTTTGTTTTGTCAAAAATCTATTTCTGGTAATATTTTGCCTTCAAAAATCTATTTCTGGTAATATTTTTTTTCCAAAAAGTATTGCTGGTAATAATTTTTTTCTTCAAAAAACTATTGCTGGGAATAATGTTTTACAAACTATTTTTGGTATTAAAACCTATTTTAACACTTTCATAGTATTTTTACCCCAGTTTTGGGGGTTAACTATTTGCTCATAGCTTGGACCCTAACAGGTGCTACCACCCCAGGGTAGGGTGGACCTGGGAACACCAACAATTAAGAGGTGATTCCACGCTCCTCCAACCTGATCAGAGGCATTGCTGTTGAACGTATTTTATCATCTTACCCAAGATGCAGATGTAGTTTATCATCATACCCAGGATAGGAAAGCTACAAAGGATAGGAAGTTGTAGAGAGCCATGATTGTCCACATCTTGAAGGTGCACAAGTTGTAGAGAGTCATGGCTGTCCACATAGAAGATTATTACAAGTATTTTAATATATACGGTGACTTACCAATAGTCTTTCAAGTGTCATTTTTTCAGCAGATTCTTTCATAGAGTGATTAGTGTTTTCCAAGAATGTGCTAATTAATGCCATAATTTCCACAGCACCCGTTGGAAGATCTCGATGAGTGACAAACGTTTGGTTTTGGAAAATCCTGAAAAATGAAATACAATAATGAAGAAAATTTTTTTTAGAAGTTTAGGAGTATTAATGAAATGATGGAATCAAAAGAATTCAAAGGAAATACACTAGATTTCATTTTAGCATTATACGTAATAACAAGGGACTCTTCTTAGGCTTGAACTCGCAACTCTAGCTAATACTCAACTGATTGAGCTTGTTACCAAAAAAAAAAAAAAATGGTAATCAGATATTCTATTTTAGCCATGTTGACAGTATAGAAGAATATAATATATAAATTTCTATATATCAGAAAAATATCTGATGAAGTCCTTCTAGAGAAGTGGCTCTTAACTTTTTCTTTTGATTGATGTTTTTTTTTTAATAGGGTCCCTCCAAGCCATTTACTTTCACAAAAGCTCATTTTACAATTTCTGGAACAAATAAAAAGTAATATTAAACTACATATGAGCTTCAAAACTGTTTTAAAAACCAAATGAAATAAACTTTTTTTAGTAATGTACGGCAAGATTGTGTTGGGGCTGGGGGGGAAAATACCTAGCTCTTCCAGCAATTATAGGGGTGAATAGGTGGAGAGGTGAAAGAGATGGGTGGTAATAAAAGACCCCGACAACTTGAGGAATAAATATGCCCATGGAACTGACTTCACAAGACACTGGGTCTTGCCAACTGCTGTTTTTTCCCTGCTTTTATTGGCATGAGGGATTTTACAAAGACCCAGAACTTGACCAGTTGTTGAGAGGCCCATATCTAGACATGCCAAAATGTCCAGCTGTTAATGGGAAAAAAACCAAGAGTAACTGGTGTAGGCAAACATGTGTGAATGTGATTCAGAACCTCTTTTGTGTCTGTACTGACATCCATTTGCTACACTTTTATTTCAGAAAAAAAAAATGCCCTGCACATAAATGCACACACAAATCTAAAAAGTTCTGCACAATAAAAAAAATAAAGTTATAAAAAATAAAAAATTCAGCACATAAATGCACACTAGTAACATAAAAGATACTTGAAAATTATTTTATTACATAATTTAAGTTCATTAGAACTAAAATATAGAGGACAACAGAGTTGGATCACTGTGGCCCCTTTCATTGAACTTGGCCACCTCCCACCTCCCAAAATTTACCAGGAGGCCCCTTGTAGCTAATTGGGGTCCCTGGTTAAGAACCACTGTTCTAGGGGATGAAAAACGTAATATGGAAATTTTGTTTTCCACTTTGTCATTTATTTGCCTAGCATGATCCATATAAATGCAACATACACTGTATACCAAAGTATATATGATAGTAAACTTGGTATACCAAAGTATATATGATAGTAAACTTGGTATACCAAAGTATATATGATAGTAAACTTGGTATACCAAAGTATATATGATAGTATATACCAAAGTATATGATAGTAAACTTGGTATACCAAAGTATATATGATAGTAAACTTGGTATACCAAAGTATATATGATAGTAAACTTGGTATACCAAAGTATATATGATAGTTAACTTGGTATACCAAAGTATATATGATAGTAAACTTGGTATACCAAAGTATATATGATAGTAAACTTGGTATACCAAAGTATATATGATAGTAAACTTGGTATACCAAAGTATATGACTTGGTATACCAAAGTATATATGATAGTTAACTTGGTATACCAAAGTATAATAGTTTATAGTACAACTAGAGAAGATATATGATAGAGTGCTATATTGAATGGATTTATACCAAAGATTACAAGTTATATGACCTCGGGTATACCAAAGTATATATGATAAACTTGGTATACCAAAGTATAATTTTATAGTTTAGAGAAGATTCTTTTATAAATGGATTATTATTTGACCTGATGTTGAGGTATTTCAATGAAATGTATTATATTTGTGATGTTGAGCATCATTAGAACAATTACAATTACCATGAGAATATTTATAGAAAAGTGATGGGGGAAATCACATTAAGACAATAGGAAAGTGACTGAAACCAAGATGCCAGAATTTTTGCTTTACTTGAGGTAATTTGCTTTTTAAGCCCTGTGATAAATAAGTATCTAATAAAAATTTCTGGAACCTGTAAAAAGCATGATTATTTACAAAATAAAAAAAAAAATGATTAAAAGGAAATAATAATTAATGTGCAAACTTTGCATGAACTTTGTAATGCTCCTCTCTAGCATTTATTTTTAGTTTGTAAATAATCATACTCTTTACAAAGTTTGTGCATTAATTATTATTTATTTTATTTTTAATTTAAAAAAAAAACTTTATTTTATTATTTGTTTTTAATTTAAAAATAAAGCTTTAATATAAAAAACAACAGCTGTCATTGCTTTTCTACACAGAAAAAAAGGTTTACTATAAAAAAAAACAACAACACTTGTCATTGCTTTTCTACACAGAAAAAGGGGTTTATTATAAAAAAAACAACACTTGTCATTGCTTTTTTACTTAATTTAAGTGCACAGTAATTTAGACGAGTAAGAGAAGTAAAAAGGCTGTTAATTAAGCTTCCATGTGCAAAATGTTCCAAAGTGAATGTAGTTAAACAAGGCCAGTAATAGCTGACGGATGAATATGACTGAGTCTGAAATTTTATTGCCAATAACTCCAAAACAGTAGATTTTATCAAAATTTCTTTGTTATTTTTTAATTAAGCATGTAAATTTACAACTAAATACGATTCCAGAAATGTTTATTAGATACTTAGCATGGGGCTTAAAAAGCAAATTACCCATATATACTTTGGTATACCAACTTAACTATCATATACATTGGTATGCTGAAATACTAATTTTCCATGGCTGATCTTATTTCTACTTGATTTATATGTTACCTTGACCTGCAACTGTCCACGTTGTTCAGTAGTCTTGTACTAATCTCATATCTTTATTGATACTCTCAACAGTGACTCTTGTGCATTTTTTACACTCCAGCAGGTTTTACCTTTGTTCATGCACTGACTGCTGTGAGGTAAAATGTCAAGGGTTTGATGTCATCATCATCAGCAGCAGAAGTAGTAGTAGTTGTCATAGATCTGTAAGCTTTAGAATGCATGAAAGGATTTATTAAACGCATCAAAACTGTGATATCATATGTTATATACACAATACTGTTTGGCACTTGTTATATATATCTGAGAGTCTAATTACAAGTTACCTTATTGCCAATGGATCTATGAATGATTCTGCTGGGATGGATATGACTGGACACTGCACAATGGACAGATTCACTTACAACATCTGCCAATGAAATATCAACAGATTCTGGTTATATTTTGTCTGTGTTTAGAATCTGAAGAACCAAACTGAAATATGAAACAAATTAAAGTCAGTGACTTACATGAAGTTGCGAAGTGATTCCCGGAGGAGATCCTGTTTCAGCATGATTTGCATAACCAGTTTCTTGATGTAAAAAATAACACTGACATTATTTCTCAGTACCGTTCGATCGATTGCATGTGCATTTGGATCCAGTAGAGGAAATTGAGCTGAAATTGAGAGAAAGTTGCCATCGTGAAACTGTGTTAAGGTTAAAAATTAAAATCTTTTTATTATTCAAAATGCATTTGCTTACTTTGAAAATAAACATTACAGAAAATAAGTTCTTAAAACCAATTCCACACTGTAAGGGCACTGGTATTAAAAATTTTAAAGTAGTATTATTAACCTGTAGACCAAAAAGAAACAATAAAATTCTGCAATATGCAAAATATTGCAAGGATAATTTATCGTTGAAAATAATTTCCTATTTTCTGAACAATTTGTAAATATTAAAATTTGAAATACCCCTAAGAGAAGAAAAAAGATTCCATCTACTATTACCCTTCATTTCATATACATAAAGATTGCTGTTGGCAGAAATTTTAAATAAAACCTTTCTTTTTTTTCTTCTTCTGAAAGCTGACATCATTGTTTGAGGTCATTTTTAGAGCAGAGTTACAGTTTGCTGTTTTTAGTAAGAGAATACGAAAAACATACTGCCATATAGTCTCCAATCTAAAAAATGGTTTTGCTCTTTCAGATCAACAGCAAAATATTTAAAATTTTTTTTTTAAAAGTATTTTTGCATCTTTGATAGTTTTATTTTCACCAGTATACCTAAACATTGTATTTTCAGGGACTTGGGAGAATATCTGAAAATGATTCCCCTGAATACCGCAGCACTTGTATTTATGAAAATAGTATTTTGTAAGAAAATAAATTTGTAGCAATATTTTTGTCCTGCAATTGAAGAAAAAAAATGTTAACTTTAAGCTGTTGTTAATTTTAATTTATGCACTTTAATATTGTGTTCTCAGTGACTCAAGTGAAAATCAAAATTTCTTTCTCTAAATGCTACGGATCTCTCTTTTTCAGTCTATGTATCAGGGAATAATTATTATGCTTAAGGGTTACAAAATCCACAAAGGCAAGGCCTAGGGTGTCCTTGATGGTCAATCCTCTCTGACAATCTTAAGAGGGACTTCTTTAAGGCCATGGTAGAATCTGTCTTTCTCCACGGCTCAACAACATGGACGCTGAGGAAACACCAAGAAGCATCACTTGACGGAATATACACAAGGATGTTAAGAGTTGCATTGGACATCAGCTGAAAGAAACACCCAACAAAGAAACACATGTATGAACACCTTCCTCCTATTTCAGTTTCGTTGAGAGAGAGGAGGCTTCGGATAGCTGGAGAATTAAGTCAGAACTTGTGAGTGACAGCCTCCTATGGAACCCATTGCACGGCAAAAGATTGGTTGGAAGACCTCGTCACACCTACATTGACCAACTTGTAGAGGACTCTGGATGCCATCTGGAGGACCTGCTGACAGTGATGTCTGACAAAGATGGTTGGAAGGAATGAGTCAGGAGAATCCAAGAAGAATTCTCAGCCTGATGATGATGATGAAGAGTTACTAGGAAAATATTCAAACAGGCATTTAGAGTAGCAACTGAAGATAATGTAATTTATTTATATAAAATTAGGCTGGTTTGACAGTATATCAAATTTGTGTTGAATGTTCAAGTGTTGTATTATCCATGCCTGCTCTGAATGTTAAAGGAGAGGGAATTGCTGTGAGGGAGCAGTTATCATGAAAGACTTATCATGAGAAAAGTGACTTGTCATGAAAAGAGAGTCTCATCATGAAAAAAAAAAAAAGAGACTCATCATAAAAAAAAAGAGTCACATCGTAAAAAGAATTTTATCATGAAAAAAAGAGACTCATCATAAAAAAAGAGTCACATTGTAAATAGGAATTTTATCCTGAAAAAAAGAGACTCATCATAAAAAAAACAAAAAAAAAAACCAGAAACAACATGAAAGTCACTTGATTTTCAACAGAGATGGAAACAGAAAGTAGATATCTCACCCACAGAGTTATCTCTAACATTAGTGCAACTGATGTTGTTCTAGCAGGGGATGTTGCTTCTGTTTTAGAATTCAACAGTGTAAATTCCACTACAACAGTTCTTGTCAAGAAAGACTGATTGCATGGCAGGGTTTGTTACAGCTCTTGAGAAAAAAAGGAAGTTGCACACCATTGGCTGTTCACTTGTTCATTATGAACTTCCATTTGAAGCTGTTTTTATGTACATTGATGGAACTACAAGAAACCCTACTATTTTTACTGATTCTCTATGGAAACTTTGGGAAAATGATTACCAGGTAGAATTTAATACTATTAGTGGCCCTTTGGATAATTTATATCTTACTGTAGAGACTATGGAAGATTTAAGTGGTGACCAAAGACTCCTCTTAGAATATACATCAGAAAATTCATGAGGGAAAGTGAACCCTAGATTTGCTGCCTGGAAAATTGGGTCTCTAAATCAAGTAAGTTGGTTACCTTTAGCCACCAAGGTTAATGTGTTTATGGACCAAAAGTGTCTATCCACCAGGACTATGATAAATTGCACAGCTTATAAAATTTATAATTGAAATATATGCAGTTCGTTGGTTTGAAATTAAAAGGAATAATAAATTCCATAACCAACAACTGTATATCTTTATTATGATCCAGAGAATAAATCAACAGTTGACTGAAATACAGAATTTGCATTAAAAAATTTACAGCACAAAATTTTTTTTGTTTGTTTCAGAAGTAGAGGAACCACTAAAGAAGAGATAAGAAATTACTTTCAACTCTGAAGTGACACTTTGGTCAAATTTAATTAAACTCGTATATAATGAAGTTTGTAAACCTATGCTTGCAAAAGGTTTTTCAAATAATGAACTGCAAGAGTTTCAAATGAGTGGAACAACACTGAAGTTGATAAATTTACCTGCACATTTGCAAGGTATGGAAAGAGCAGTTAATTTTAACTACTGAAGCTTTACAAATTGTATATGGACAAGAAGCAAGACAAAAACACATTATTACTAAATCATTGTGCCATCAAATAAGACTTTTATTTATTTCAACAGTAAAATATAATGAACAATTTAGCTATATTATGATGTAATATGTTATATAGTGCAGCAGTTTTAGTGTGATTTTTAATAAATAATGCAAATTTAAAAAAATGTCTTATAATTTGTGACCAGCAGTATTTTGGTGTTATATACACTTTTATTTTTTGTTTGTATTACTGTATTTGACAGCATATAAAGCGCACTTTTTTTTAATTTTTTTTTTTTTAACTAAAAATATCTTTTAAAATTCCCATGTCTTATATGCCATATGTAGATTTAAAATTCGCGATAGTCGGCTGAAATTAGCTACCTAGCAATTCCTATTAGCTTAGACTTTAGAGTACCTTTCATATACCTATTGTCATTATTTAAAAGGTTATTATGCAGATAAAAAGTGTTATCATTGATAATATTCATTATATTAATTTCATCACGTTTAATATTAGTACTTTGTTTCACTAAAATTATATGCAATAAATTCAAATTATATATTTGTAAAATATATTTGTTTCATTAATATTTTTCTTGCAATAACTTCCGGTTGTATTGGTATAAATACAATCATTATATCCTAATTATTCCAATAAGACGTTTACAAGACGTAGGTTGTACAGATCATATGAAGGAAAAGCATAGAAATAGAGCAGCTGCAAAATATTTTGGCCCTCTGCCTAAAGAAAAAAAATGATATCTTACTGGCGGTTGCAGGAAAATAACCTATTGGCAACAAAGAAAGAAAACTGTAACATACACCACCCAGCCCCACTCTGGCCCGGAATTGAAGAGGAAATTAAAATGTGAGTTGTAGATGAGAGGAGTACAGGCAGAATTGTTACTATGAAGATGATAATGAACAAGGCTAGAAGATTAGCGAACGAAAAAGGGATTCAAAATTTTATAGGAACAGAAGGATGGTGTTATTGTTTTATGAAATGGGAAGTTTTGCCAATGCATACAAAAACATCAATTGTGCAGAGAATGTTAGCTGACTATGATGACAAAATAATAAAGTTTAAAAAATTTGTTATACATTCTCGAAAAAGAACACCTTTTGAACTAGGCCAGATAGGAAATATGGATGAAGTCCCACTAATGTTTGATCTTCCATCAAACAAAACTAAGTATTAAGGGATCCAAGACTATTACAATAAAAACCACAAACCATGAGAAAACCCATTATACGGTGATTCTTGCATGTTGGACTGATGGCACAAAATTGCTTCCTTTTCTGATTTTTAAGAGAAAGATTACATCGAAAGATAAAATACCAAAAGGTATGCATGTCCATGTTCATCCAAAAGGCTGGATGGACAATGATGGTCTACAGATATGGCTATGAGTTGTATGGGAAAGATGTCCTGGTAGACTATTACAAAATCCCTCTCTTCTGGTTTGGGATCAGTTTTGAGTACATAGGACTGAATCCATTAAAAAGAAAGTGGTAGAATTGAAGACAGAGATAGCGGTTATTCCTGGTGGACTAATGAGTCAGTTGCAACCTCTGGATGTGTCTTTGAATAGATGATTCAAGCAAAACATGAAGGAGCAATGGAATACATGGATGCCAATGCCTGATGACAACCTTACACTTACAGGAAGAATAAGAAGAAGACCCAATATTGCACAAGTCTACAAATGGGTAAAGCAAGTTTAGGATAATATTAGACCAGATATTGTTGTGAAATCTTTTAAAAAGCATGGCATTAGCAATGCTCTCAATGGAATGGAAGATGACACATTATTTAACAACAATGATAGTAATATTGAAAATGAGTATCAGAGTTTTGATAACGAAAATGATGAATTTTATGGATTTGAAGATGAATAAAATTTTAATGGTAACTGTACCGTTTTGCTCAATTGTAATAATTGCTTGATTTTTATTTTGTTTTTTCGTACCTTTGGATATAATAAAGTTTTTATAGGCTCGTGTTCTTTTTTTCCTATTATTTTTCATTTAATTGTAATCATGACTTGTTTAACCAAAATAATATTGTTAATTACTAATTTTTTCTTGATTTGCCCTGCTGAAATTTGGGTGCATCTTATATGCATATGGTAATTGTAGCCTAAGAAAGATTTTATTCATTGATTAGCCTTTTCTAATTTTTTTCTAATCATTTGCAATCTTTACAGTTTTTCCTTTCTGAATACAGTAAAAAAATTACTTATTTTTCTTGTGGTGATTTATAATTAGAATTCTGATTTGAATATATTTTCCATTCAATATATTTAATATAAAAAATATCAACTTTATCTTAATTTATTCTTGAAATAGTAAAATTTTAAAGTTAGTTTGTAAGTAAAAACCTGTGGAAATTAGGTATTTCTGTACATTTTTTTCAGATAATCTTTAAACCTAAATGCTCAAAAATTGGGATAAGCTAAGAATGAGTTTTTGCAGCAAGTGCAATGGTGATTTTCTAAAAAAATTGAAAAATCAACCTGCTCTAACAGGGGCACTGAAGTTCTCTTACTTACTATACCCTCTCTGCCAGTGACAAGCATGCGGCAACTCTTCCTTGCTAAAGACAATAAAATTAGCCAATATAAATGCCATCACGTTATGCCAATTATTGTGTCAAGAAAATCTTTTCCTAGTGAAAATACAGCTTTTGATTTTCATGGAAAAATCAAGATAGTGCAACTCAGGGGTAATGGGCCTGAAGACAGCCTTATATAACCTGCCTAACGATCATATCTGTCTATATTTCTGAGATGAGGTAGTGTACCTATTTCTACTGTTTACATTGTTTGGACTGTTGTACTCATCTTTGCTGTCATAATGACAACGTTTTGGCCATTGTAGGCTTTGGCCTTCTTCAGGTGATATATGTCAGAATTTCACACCAAACCCTTTATTTCATCCTCTGTGGGTAGATTGTTCTAGTTCCATGTGCCATACCTTTTCTGGATATTTAAGTTTTACTATTTTTCCGTTTAGTAACTTAACTCTCCAACCTTTCAAGTTTCATTATTCAGAGATTAACCTGGCTGTTTTTTTTAATTTTTAAAAATAGAAATTCCAATCAGGCTTCTTTTATTCTGAATGCAATGGTTTTTGCTAACTTGCTGAAGATCTTCCAATGTGTTTGGGAAATTTGTCATACATGTGGCCAGGTACTGAACTCACAACTCTTTGGGTCAAGTCACTGGATTACTTCAACCAATGCTGTTATCCACCAGGCCATGTGTCCTTGCCAAAACTTTGTGAATATGACAACAAATAATGAGGACAACAGTCCGAACAATGTAAATAGTGTAAATACTAATGATTGTAGTTCAACGTAAACCAGTTAGAGCCAAAGAGGATGTTGTGATAATGTAATAATAATGTAGTAATATGAAATATCAGATAAAGTCACAGGGCAAATTCTATATGTAATGAAAAATCAAACATGCAAATTAATTTGGTTTATAAATATGGGAAAAGCAAGGCAAACAAACCATCATACCCTGCCCCAAACCAAAGTGACTGACCCTGCCTTGTATTCAAATTAATTCTCACAATGAAAAATGTCTGAGTGAATGAGGATACTCACGTATTGTCTCTTCAAATGCCAAAGTCTTGTTGGTTGGTGAAATGATCAAGAATATTGGATGCTTTTGGGTAATGTTCGGTGGGTAGGTATCAATGGTTTGCTGGGTGTTCACAACGTCGTAGAGCAGACGTCCCTCAAAAAGAAGCAGTTGATTGGCAGCATTTACATCAGTTTGGGTTGCAATCAACTCTTGAAGATTAGTGAAACTAGAAAAGGAAATTCTGAATCAAAATCTTTCAAGTCTCATTATTCAGAGATTAACCTGGCTGTTTGGGTTGCAATCAACTCTTGAAGATTAGTGAAACTAGAAAAGGAAATTCAGAATCAAAATCTTTCAAGTTTCATTATTCAGAGATTAACCTGGCTGTTTTTTTAATTTTTAAAAATAGAAATTCCAATCAGGCTTCTTTTATTCTGAATACAAAGGTTTTTGCTAACTTGCTGAAGATCTTCCAATGTGTTTGGGAAATTTGTCATAAGTTGGATTCTGTGGCATTTGGTGGTGATGATGGCTGCCTTACTAATGAATGTAGCATTAAATGCCTAAGACTATACAGTATAGCCATTTTGGCCAATTTTTGAATTAATATATCAGAAAAACATTTTTTGTTAAAAATCAATTCACCCCAAGCAAAGCAATAAAGCCAGTGAAAAACCATAAATATTGCTTTACGTAAGTGTTTAATAAATACAGTTCATCTATTTGGGATTCAGATGATAATGTAAGTATGGGTGTGCCTAGCAGAATATTATGTTTATATTTTTATTTACATGTTTGCTAGGCACACACAAACTTACAAATATACATTATCATTTGAATCTCATAGACAAACTACAATTCTTATACACTTGCATACATAAAGCAATATATAAGTTTTGTAAATATTGAGTAATTGTGTAAAAATATTTGATTCCTTACTTTTGTTCCTTCTTAATGTAGATTCTATAATTTGTGAAATGTTCTGGACTGAAGAGATGGATAACTTTCTTGGAGACTATTTCTTGCACTTGACTAAAGTACTGATCAAAATTCCAGGTCTTTTTGGAATCTCGTTCCAGTAATCCTGCCAGGAATGGTAACAGCAAATTCTTCAAGCCTCTGCAAGCAATGATAAATTTAAAAAGAAATTTAAGAAAAAAAAATTAATAAAAGACCTTTGGCGAAAATTTAATGAAACTTGAATTTTAAAGCCCATTTTTAAATTTTAAATTCTACACTTAAAGAAAACATATCCTTCAATAAATATCCCTGATAAATATTTGGCCATCTATAAATACACGTCAAATACACTTTTATTATATCACCAAATTTTATAAAATCCATTCTTAAATAATCTAGGATATGTCTACCTGGTACCACAACCAGTATAACTTAAATTCCTTCACCATCACACAAAACATCCCCAAATCAACATGCAGACAACCACCAAACATAGATAAAAATGTCTACTAGACACACACACACGCACACAAATATACATTAATCTTGCATAGACAGACAAGAATTATGATACACATGAATGCTGCGTGATAATATTTTTGTAAATATAAGTGATGAAAATATAAATATGAAATTATTTTTGTAAATGAACAATCTAATAAATAAATTGTGTTTAATATTTTTGTTGTAAATTCTCAACAACAAAAAAGAAAAAAATGTAAAAATTCACTTTCATCAGGTTTCAATTTTATTCCAATTCTGATCATGTTTTTTTAAAATAATAAACATTTCTGAAGAGTGAAGGTAGTTGAAAAAGCGGTGTCATGGGAAAAACCATCCTTTTGATACCTTGTCTTATTGTGATCGTGTTTGTCTATGACAAAAAATTATTACAATCTCAAAAGGTGAGGCCAATGGTTGAGACTTCTGCTCTATGTATTGTTGCTTTGTTTAGGATTTGTCTTAATAATTTCATAAAATTAGAGACAACATGAGTAAAGGTTATTTAAACTATTTAATATTTGGACTATTGTTCTTATCTTTGTTGTTGTTAATGCAGGCTGTTGTGCCTACTGGCCTTCCTCAGGTATTGAACTGGGTAACTTACAAGGAATTCAGAACTGAACCCTTTATTTAACCTACAGCGGTAGACTGTTCTCATTGTAATGCTCATCTCCAGGGTTATTATCTAGTCCTTATTTTTATTTAGTACTGTTCAGTTGTTGCTTGTCTGTTTCCACTGAGTGCAAGTACATGCTGCCCGACCCAGGGATTGAACTCTCAACCACTATTTCAATTCTTAAATCCATGCAATCTTCAATGAATTATTGAAAAATCTGAATATGGGATATTAGTGAAATTAAATTGATATATATCTCAAAGGCCATTGAAAGTCATGTCTTACAAGTTCATTTTTCCTTTCAAATGATACCAAATTTAGCCTCCATGTTGCTATCATATTTCCTTGTACATAATATGAGAAATTTTGATGAAAATTAAAGACAAAAAGGTCGAGAGGTGGGGGGGGCGGTCATATTATACAAATTTTCAGAAATTTTTCTCAGGTTTTAAAATCCTCTTATTTGAAACAGCAAGACTGCAAATACACTCCGTTAACACAACAGATAATAAAACACAAAGTAGGCAGATGTTGATAACAATTGTTTACAAAAGGTATTTGATATGTCGGCAATATTTTTTCTATGAGTATCAGTGTCCTTGAACATCTTGTCTCAAAGACAGGAAACTCACCAAAACTGATTTAAAAAAAAATTTAAAAAAAATGAATAAATGGAATACACAAGATCTGTCATGTTTTGATAACATTAATGTTATAAAAAAACACCTTTACCCAAAAAATAATTTGTAAATTAGGCGAAGAAACATGCAATAGCTAAACATCCAGTTCATTTCTATTTTTTAATATTGTGAAAAATTAAATAATTTTAGTTAAGTATAGGTACAACATTTAGATTTTATTGGTTAATATTTTTACAACTTTTCAAAATATTTATATAGGTATGGCTGTACTACTGGGTTTAATTTACTTCGTTTTAAAATCAGAAACATGGAAGGCGGTATTATACACAAGAAAATATTGTAGTTATGAGGTATGGGTTGGGAAATCTACAATTTTGTAAAAGTTGTAGATTTCGCAAAAAGTTGTAGACTTTTGGAGCCTCTGGTTGAACATGTGACGGGTGCTGATTGAAATATAGTGCTCAGTGCATTCAGGTGCTTTTGGAGTGTAACCATGCGAAACTTGCAGACACATTCACTCCCTTCCAATATGTAACTGAGTGAAACTTGTGGGCACATTCAGGCGTTTCCAGCCTTACAGGGTTCAGCACAAATGTCATTTCAGTTGATCACTAGACCTTGAATAAATTTACATAGAGTCTAACACTCATCAACATTGGGTGTCTTGAGGAAAGGTATGGATCCACTTCATCTCCCTCCAGCTATGGGTTAATTAGTAAGACATGTAGTGCTAAACTGTTATCACCTCAAAAAAAAGAGAAAAAAAAATTCTGACTATAACCTGCACTGGTTTGCTAAACCACAGAAAATGAATTAACAAACAAACAGTGGGTGTTTAAAATTTATTCTAAAACTAGTTTACCTTTACCATAAAAAAAATGATGGCAATAAGTAATTTTGTAATTGTATTTGACATATTTTCTGCAGGAATAATTTTGGATTTGTTAAACCATAGAAAATGAATTAACAAACAAACAGTGGGTGTTTAAAATTTATTCTAAAAACTAGTTTACCTTTACCATAAAAAAAATGATGGCAATAAGTAATTTTGTAATTGTATTTGACATATTTTCTGCAGGAATAATTTTGGATTTGTTAAACCATAGAAAATGAATTAACAAACAAACAGTGGGTGTTTAAAATTTATTCTAAAACTAGTTTACCTTTACCATAAAAAAAAAATGATGGCAATAAGTAATTTTGTAATTGTATTTGACATATTTTCTGCAGGAATAATTTTGGATTTGTTAAACCATAGAAAATGAATTAACAAACAAACAGTGGGTGTTTAAAATTTATTCTAAAACTAGTTTACCTTTACCATAAAAAAAATGATGGCAATAAGTAATTTTGTATTTGACTTATTTTCTGCAGGAATAATTTTAGATCTGGATTTGCACCATTGACTGCATTATTGTGTGCAACATGTAGCTCTAACATTGCTAGTCCGCTCCATTTTTTGGGGGGTGGGGTGGGGTGGAGTGTTAATTGAATTGTTGTTAATTGTTGTTTTTTTATGGCTTATCAAGCCTCTGTGGATTATTTAAAGCCAAAACATTTTTTGGGTTGTAATTTTTCTTTCTTTTTTTTTTTGCGAGTGAATATTACATTAACAATTTTTTCAAGATAGCAAAACTTTTTCCAGATACAAGTTAATCCATAACTTGGAGTGGGGGAGAAGAGTCATACCTTTCCTAAGGGTATTTTGGTATGCAGGAGGATGAAAAAAGTGACAATGTTTACTCACTGCGATAGCATGCAGGTTTCTGGAAAATCGTAGCTCCATTCAATATCACCCCCATAGCTTTTCTGGATGCCTGACACAACCCCACTTTTCTTCTCTGCCAGAATTTTGTGCCTGTAATAAAGACCAAAGCTGTTCAAATTAATAGACAAAGAATGATTTCCATTTGTAATCAGAAAAAAATTTACCTTTACAATTCAGTAAACCTATCATGTTAAGGAAAAAAACACTAACAAATTCAATTTTTTTTTTTTAAATATCCCAAATAACTAAAACCTTTAACCTTTAAAAAAAAAAAAAAAAAAAACCTCAACTGACTGAAAAAATCATTTTGACAGTTAGGTATTGGTTCCAAACCGCAGAAGTGAAAGTTGGGTAGATAGGCAGTAACCCTACCTCATAAATATCATCTTGTTAGAGAAATGCTAGCCAGAGATCAAAATAAAATCTGTAACAAAAACCTTTGGTAATGATCAATTCAGCTCAGTGCTAAATAAAGGCCAAAGTAAGTATAACATTATCACTGGATATTACGAATGAAAACAGGAGGTCGAACATCCCATACATAACATCATTTATGTCTATTTAACTCCAAATTTTGTAAGTCAGCCATCAGTCATTGGTTGTGTGGTCCTGCAGCCTTCTCTAAAAGTGGACCTGGCATTTCTGTATAGATGTCAAACTTCCTCTTCTGTGACGGTTGCTTTTTATATCAACCCGTCATACAATTATTCCCACATGTGCACACTAAGTACAGATGGGTCAAATCTGTGGACGTGCTGGGATTAGCAACTGATATTCAGTGAAGTGTAGATTTGCACGTCATGGACAAAGGAGTCATCCTTCAGATTAACCGTTTGCTCTACTTGGCTTCTCTGACGTCTCAGTCAAAGTCTATTCTGGCATCATCTGGGGTGACTGACACACTACATAAGTATGTCTAAAAAAAAAAAAAAAAAACTCTTGTGCTCAAACCTTGAAGCAGACAAATCCTTTTGACAGAATCTATCTTGCACCTTTATAAATTGACCATTGGTCTATGCATTTAATATTGCTGACACATTTAGAGATTCTTAATAAAATCCAAAGAAGAATTGGCAATGTTATCAGCCCTGACATCTCAGATTCAATAATATATCTTCTCTGTGCTTTTCTATAAATATGTACATGGCAATTGTTCGGATGAACTTTCCCCTTTCATATTTTGACTTTATGAATTTAAGCGCACACAAGATTAGCAGCTTGGACTCATCATTTTATTGTTGCAATGTTATCAGCCCTGATCTGGCATCTTGGCTTCAGTCACTTTTCCTCTACTGTATCTACCATGTGTTCTCTATAAATATTTTCATGGTAGCTGTTGTGATGAGCTTTCCTCTTTGGTACCTTGACTTTACGAATGTAAGTGCAGGAGTAGATTGGCAACTAGGTTGCACCATTTTACTGCTGAAACTGCTTGATGTTCTATACTAACAGTTTCTTCTGCACTTCTTACTTGTGGAATTCTTGTTTGGGTTCTGGCTTTCAAATCAACTTTGATCTTCAAAAATCAAAATGCAATGTCAATTGTTATCTTCTGTCTTCTTAATTCCTCTTCTTTTATTGTTCTCTCTCCTTAATCGTGTTTTTCTTTTTCTCATATTCTTTCACACTCAGTAACTCCTTACGTCTTAGTAGATTTATTGCCTTGCTTGGGATGAAATGATTAAATGCAATGTCAATCATTATTTTCTGTTTTCTTAATTCTTCTTCTTTTATTGTTCTCTCTCCTTAATATTGTTTTTCTTTTTCTCATATTCTTTCACAATCAGCAACCTCTTGCATTATAATGTCTTTATCATCTTGCTTGGCATGAAATATTGCCCATTATGAAAATGCACTTACTTTTGAAAATAATATTATTCCTCATTTTAGGGAAAGCTAGACAACCTTCTGACCCATGGACTTACAAGGAAAGATAATCATAGAATAATCTCTTCTTGAATATTTTTATTAGTGCATGTGACCAAGTGGTTAGAATATTTGCCTTCTGATCATGCAAATCAAGTTCAAATGTCACCGTAAGTTGATATTGTCAGGAAGTCAACTTCTTGATGTTATCAACTGTTGGAAAGTGCCTGAAAATCATATCACAAATATAAATTCTCTTTCAGTTTCTTGCTTCCCAGTCAACTTTGATCTTCAAACATTTAAATGTCCCTTAATTCTTGTTCTTTTATTGACCTCTCTCCATAATAATGTTTTTCTTGCTCAGATTCTTTCACGCACTGGAGCCTTCTTGGTGGCTTTATCCCCTTGCTTGGGGAGAAATGATTAAAAAATGATACTAGAAAGCTTAACATATATCTGGAGCCAGTTGGTCAGAAGAGTATCAGGAGTTTTCTTGGTGACAGTTGATACCACAAATAAATAAATATGGATGATAGATATCACTGTGGAAAGTGAATTGGGCATGCAGAGTTCAATTCTTGCTTGATTTTGTTTTGTTACTTCACACTAATGTCCTCCAGCTACAGGTTAAATAGCAAGGTGGACAGGTCTCTATTGCCTTGAAGTGGAAACCAATGTGGGAGAAAGAAAAATTGGAATTCAAAACCAGCCTAAATTGGGTTGGGCCCTGTCAGGCTATCTTTCCCTAGACACGCCATGGCTGAAGTAAAATAAGGTGCCTCTACAACCTTAATGGGTCTACAGGAAACACACACACAGACACACAAGTCAAAAATATTGTTAAGAGAAATATGGCTATAGATATTGAACAGATGTACGTACATGGTTGTCCGGTTCTTGCGTCCTCCAAATGGCTGAAAAGGTAATTGTCCCGTAGCCACTTGATATATGGTCACAGCCAGACTCCACAGATCAACTGCTGCATCAAACTTGTGTCCCACAGCTTTCTTCATCACAGCAACATCATACATATCGGGATGCTGCAAGAAATTATGTACAAATCAGATCCTTGACACTATCTGCCCTTGTATAACACTAAGCTCTTACTTAGAATAGAACAATAAAACAATCTAATCTTTGTATTCTAACAGTTTATTACTATTAATTTCTATTATGGCAGATGCTCAGACATCAAACTTACATTCCTTAGTTTCACCAGTTCAGGCCTTCACAACTAGAGGACACTCCGGACTATGCTGTTGATAATGTTGGTGAACCATTCCTATTCATTTTGTGTTCTTTTGATTTGGAGCAAGTTTCTTTATAGAACAAAACTCCTGGGAGGATGCTTCTCTGACAACTACAAACTTAGTTTCTTCCAGTCTAAGGTCAACTGATATCTATCCTACAAGTATTCATAATATGCATTTCTTACTTTCTTCTTCTCTCTACCTTACAACAATCTCACTCAGTAACTTTCTACCTTGAGTGGACCTTGGGCCTTGTATTGGGTGAACTAACAATAAAAAACAAAAACAAAAAATGCAAGAAATAAACACAAGTTTGATAAATATCTATTACTCAATGTTGCTTATAGCAATTACATAATAGTTTTTCCTCTCTTTTTGTACTGGATACTTTTTTAAAAATCATTTCACCTCAAGCAAGGTAATAAAGCCACAAAGACACAAGGGGTTACTGAGTGTTAGACAATATGAGAAAGAAAAACACTATTAAGGAGAGAGAACAATAAAAGAGAGAAATTAAGAAGAGAGAAGTTAAAGATTGTTATAAGTAAAAAAAGCCACAAAGACTCAAGAGTTGTTAGTAAGAAAAAAAAAGAAAAACACTAAAGACAATAAAAGAAGAGAAATTGAAGAGAGAAGTTGTTATAAGTAAAAAAAGAAAGAGTTGCTGATGAGAATATGAGAAAGAAAAACACTATTAAGGAGAGAGAACAATAAAAGAGAGAAATTAAGAAGAGAGAAGTTAAAGATTGTTATAAGTAAAAAAAGCCACAAAGACTCAAGAGTTGCTGAGTGTTAGAGAATATGAGAAAGAAAAACACTATTAAGGAGAGAGAACAATAAAAGAAGAGAAATTAAGAAGAGAGAAGTTAAAGATTGTTATAAGTAAAAAAAGCCACAAAGACTCAAGAGTTGCTGAGTGTTAGAGAATATGAGAAAGAAAAACACTATTAAGGAGAGAGAACAATAAAAGAAGAGAAATTAAGACGAGAGAAGATAAAGATTGTGATGAACGAATAAAGCCACAAAGACTCAAAGGATTGCTGAGTGTTAGAGAATATGAGAAAGAAAAACACTATTAAGGAGAGAGAACAATAAAAGTAGAGGAATTAAAAAGAGAGAAGATAACGATTGACATAGCATTTAAATTTTTGAAGATCAAAGTTGACTGGGAAGTAAGAAGCTGAAAGAGGGTTCTACAAGCAAGAAGTGTGAGAAAAGAAACTTGGTTTCATCCATATAAAGAATTGGCACATTTTGGGACTGAAATTCTAATAAAGCTACTGCATAATCCTTACGTTTCGCCTTATTGACATTATTATTGGCAGCTTCTGGTTCATAATGAACCGCTTTTAAAGTAAAGGCCATGGAGTCCAAGTGCTTTCTTATGCATTCTTTCATCACACGAACCTCATACTTTTCGACCAACTTATTTACAATGTCTTGAAGAGTGACCCTAGAAGAGTTTTCAATAAATTCGACCATAAAATTCTTATATTTTCTTGCTCCTCCCCTAGAGTCACTCTTATCAGCACCCTGGTCTAACCAACGGTACACTGTTGGCAGAGGCACACCAATTGTTCTTGCCAGGTCTTTCCAATTTCCTGCTGTGGCATGTGCAGCTAAAATCTGGGACTTTTTATGCCAGCCACAGTTTTCTTGAGGTAAGTCTTCTTTGGAACTGTTTCTAATTCTTCTTCATCTTCTTTTGTAAAGGTTTCTCCAGCATCATCATCAATCATCATTTTTGCCCATATGGGACTTTCTCTTACTTTTACTGTAGGCTCGCCCAATGCTTTCTTTGCCTCTAAGTTGTTTGTATTTTGGTTTTTTCTTCATCTATATAATGAAGACAAACAGTCAATTTCCTTAATAATGGGGTAAATTAATTAAAAAAATAATTTTCAATTTACCAAAAAAAATATCTCAATTTGAAGTTGTTTATTCTTATTTTGAAGTTGATTGTTTTTAGGTTTTTGACATTTTCTCAATTTGAAGTTGATTAATCCATTTTGAAGTTGACTGATCCATTTTGGAGTTGATTAATTTTTTACTTGAAAATAAGTCCATTTTGAAGTTGATTATTATCATTTTGAAGTTGAAAAGGTATAGTTCCATGTACCAGATGTCACAGTTACAGTTATTTCCCATTAGTAACTCAACTCCCAAGTTTTTGTTCACCTCTGCTGTGGCCAGGTATTAAACTCACAACTCTTTGGGTCATGGTCAGCCTCAGCAGGTCTGAGCCAAATAGACTGCCACTAAAAAAATAGTCTGAAACTATTATTTAATAGCTTGAGGGTTATTAAATGAGATTGTTGTATGAGTGATAGGGTGGAAGTAAATGTTGGTTATGAGGTTACATATGATAGGAGGTAACAGTTGACCTTGAGACTTGAAGCTGTAAACAGTCTTTACAAATAACCAAAAGACAATAGAGTATGTAACACAGAAGTTAAAAAAAAATAGTAAAACTTGTGCTTGTAAATTAAAAATTGATCAAACTGATAAGCATTTCTTTTAATAAATGTGAAGCTTCAAAATAATACTTTCTTAAATGTTGATAAAAAAAAACTGATAAAAAAACTAACAATATCAATGTTTGATAAATAAGCTTCAAAAATATTTTCTGAAATTTTGATAAAAAGAAAAAAAAAGACAATTAGCTAAGTTAAGAAACAAACAGCTCATCATCATCAGGTATTCAGTTAGCGCATTTTGGACCACTGTACTTATGACTCCCCTCCATCTCACAGTTGTAGTGACATTCAAAGCAGAATAGTGCAATGGCTGGCCAGTTCCTTTTGCACTAGGGATGTTGAGATTACCCCATCCCTCCTTTCTGAAGTCAAAGACGCAAGATCTACAAGGCAGCAGGTGGTCTGACTTCAGAGTTTTCCTTCTCCTAAACTGGTTGCCAACTAAGCCTATAGAGCCCAGTTTGTCCTATTTACTCATAACTGGTAGGGGGGAGATGGATTCATACCATTCCCAAGGGTATTAGCACAGAATTGAATTCAAGGAACACGACTGGAATGTGAACTGGGCTCTCCAATTCCCCACTCCAAGCCACTATCCATTACTCCACTATGCCTTCCAACAACTACATGCAGAAAATAATAAACTTCAACGATATATTCTCAAATTTTGATTTAAAAAAAAAAAGAAAAAAAAAGAAAAAAAAAGAAAAAAAAAAGACAATTAGTTAAGAAGTAAAGAATTACATAGAGAAAATAATGCTTTTTTCAAAAATTTGAATGTAGTTTATATGTAACATAAAAATGTCATTACCAAATATTCTTCTGTTCCATATAAAGACACAAATTCTTGGGAGTCATCAAGAGCACGGGCAGCACCAAAATCTGTGAGTTTATATATAAATCTACAAAAGCAATTTTGTTTTCAATGTTAGGTCATTCCAAAATTTCAAGTTCAGGCTTAGACAGTTTTTTAAAATAAGGCAAGGGTTGTCTTGAGGTAGAGGGGAACACTTAACTGATTGTTCTCCTAAGAATTACATGGTAACAGGCAGAGAAGAGAAAGAGAGAGGTGGGGGTGGGGGTGGGGGTTAAACAAAATAACATCAGTTCAGAAACCACAGCATGGCAGGCAGCACACAACTTTCGGAACAATATACACCACGGGATCATATTCACAAAATACTGAGTTTCATCAACTGCCCACTGCTAGTTTTACTGTCACTTTTAGTGACACAAGACCGTTGACAAAGACCCTAGACAATTTGCAGAGAGGGCTGTATCTGGACATGCCAAACTCTTCTGCTGCTAACAGGGAAAACCTAGACATAACTAGTTTTGACAGATATGTCTGCACACAACTTTGGGACTCTTTTGCATCTGTACTAAGGTGTGTTCACAGACAATTACAAAATCTAAATTCAAACCCACAAAATTCTAAATCTTAAAATCCTTATTGATTTCCTTTAAAGTGTCATTGTAGATGCATTATCATTTTTAGAGCAAAGTTTCTGTTTTTTTTTTTTTAAACAGTTTTTCTTACAAATGCTAATATTTTATCAATAATTCACCTTTCCAGCCAGTTAAAAAAAAAAAAAAAATCAGGGATCAATTTCATACTCTATTTATATTATGAAAAGAACCCTGACTTCTGAAATCAGCAGTTTTCAATTCTAACAAATATTGTACTCCGTGGAAGGTCATATGAATGCTAATCAAGAAAAATTAGTTTCCATACCCAAAATCTTTCCTATTTCTTATGAGTGGACCAGCTCCCTTTCAGTAGTGCCTCTCCCACCAGTTAAAAAGGAAGAAATACAGAGTAAAGTATGTAAAAGTGATTTTTTCTTTTCTTTGTAAATATGTAACACATTCAAGTCTGGTAATTCTACTATGCGTTTAGAGATTCTTGATAAAATCCAAAGAAGAATCTGCAAAGTTATCAGTCTTGAACTGGTATCTCAGGTTCAGTCACTTTCTCACCACTGTAGTAATGTAGCTTCCCTGTGCCTTTTCTATAAATACTTTCATTGTAATTGTTCTGATGAACTTTTCTCTCTGGCACTGAGACTGTAAATTTAAGTGCAATACTTGGTGACATGGTCTCATCATTTTGCAATTGAAATGGTTAGATGTAACTGTAAATTCTATGCTAATAGGTTCTTCTATCACACTTCTTGGTTGAGGAACTCTATTTCATCGTCTTGGTTTGATCTTCAAAAATTAAATACAAAGTCAATCGTTAGCTTGTCTTCTTAATTCTTGTTTTTCTATTGCCCTCTCTCCTTAATAGTGTATTTTTTATGCACATTCTAACACACATATTAACCGCTTGCATCTTAGTGGCTTTACTGCCTTGTTTGGGGGTAAAATGAAGGAAAAAAAAAAAAAAAAAAAATCCAGTCTCTGGGAACGCAAAAGCAAAAAAAAAAAAAAAGTACAATATATAAAAATGCTATACTAATTTCGTAGCTATATCAAATATAAACAACACACACACACACACACAAATTACATAAACACACACATAAAATAAAGACAAAAGAAAAAATTATCTCAGCCAACACATTTCATACTCAGATGGAGTTTTCCACCAGAGGATGAAATTCATTGGCTAAGATAATTTTTCCTTTTGTCTTTATTCATATTGTCCTTTTACAGATATATTCTAGTTATATCTGAAATTTTATTAAAAGACAAAAATATGCACACATGCACATACATAAATACACTCGCACACAGAGAATATGAATTACCTGCCAGTGTCGGCCTTGTAACAAAGGATATTTCCTGGTTTGATATCTCTATGAACAATTTGATGTTCACAAAGATGTTTCATTCCTTCAGCTTAATAAAGAAACAAAAGAAAAAGAGAAATTGAAATTAAACTATGCATTAAAAAATATTTACAAATATGAAATAATAAAAATTAGACACAAAACAAAAATCTTATAATTCTGCTTGTCCCTCTCAGTGAGACCATTATGCCCTGCCAATACTTCATAAATAATGGACTATTCTGGAAAGATGGAAAAGACATATCAGAGATGCTACTTGGTTTCAGTAAGAAAATGAAAGAAAGGTAAGATAGAAGTGTTTAGCAATTGTTTCAGTAAGATGGAAAAAGTTGTCAATTTCAAATATTTGCATTTTCCCTCCCTTAGTTTTTAAAAAATAACAGCCAGCATTCATATTTAGGATTCTTATTGCAAATATTTCATTAAAGCTGCTAAACTCAAATATTTAATGGTGCGTTAAAAGAATTTCAACAGATATTTTATTGTCGTAGAACTCGCCATGAGCTTTTTTAATCATTAACTTAAGAATTTAGATAAGAAAACCGTGAAATTTTTATGAGTATTCAAGTAAATTATAGTGAAACATATTAAGATACTATAAATAGATGCAAGAGCTTTAGATTTTTAGTATGAATTTTGCTTTTAAATAAATCTGCTTCTATCACTCTAATAAAATTTTGTCGTCTACTGAAAATAATTTAATACATGCATACCAAGCACATTGCAAATATGTATGATAATATTCTTAAACTTTGATGTAATGTAGAGTAAATTGGCCATGGTTAAATGTAGTTGGAAGAAATGCCCAACAAACAGAACTGACAATGTGTGCCTGATCTTATAGCCTGGACATGTGTCAATTATCACTTGAAACTGTTGGAATCAATATATCTTGAGTCCTACCAGCCATCTTTCTATAGGCATAAAAAGTGATTGGTGGTAATTAGCCTTTAATGTTATATTTTCTTGCATCTGACATTTCTTTGGGGTTGATTTTTGTTCTGATTAGAGAGGACTGATAAACTGATATAATGGCTGTATTTACATTAGTCAGACTATTGTCCTCATCTTTGTTGCCATATTTGTCATTACGAGAGAACTTCTTCAGGTGGTAAATTTCAAACTGAACCCTTTATTTCGATCACTGGGTAGACTGTTCTAATGTGCCATTTTGATGGATGTCAATCAGTTATCTCCAAATTTGAGGACAATAGTCCCACTAATGTAAATATATATTTTTCATATAGACAGACTGATATAATGGCTTTTAATCGTAAAATTTTGGTAATACATATTTATGGTAATATATATTTTTGTTACTGCTTTTTTTGTAATGAATTGCTTTTTAATGTCAGCTTTCATCGATCTAACAACAAAGTTTTTAAAAAAAAATATTTATGGATGTAAATAAACTATGAAAATGATTAAATTTTTCACTCTTCCATAAGCAAAATACAAATCATTCTATTGATTTTACAAATGTCAAAATGGTTGAATTTATTCATCACAAAACATCTAGAAGAATTTGTGAATCAGCTATGATATCACAATTCAATTACCTAAAAAGGTAGGTTTTTATAAAATCTCACATTTTCTTGGTAAGACAGTAATTAAAGAAAATAATATTAAGTTGACCAGAAAGGCCTGGCTCACTTTGGAAGTGAAAAGAAAAAAAATCTTGATCTCTATGTGGCAGAATTTCCCAGAAGTACTGAATTTCAAGCTTGTTCCACATGGTTGCACCATCAATGCTAAACTGTATTGTCAGTAGTTAGACCATGTGTACAACAAACTAAAGATGGAGTATCCTGCTTTGGTCAATCAAGGTGAAGCTTTGTTTCAGTCGACAATGTGAGGCCACACACTGCCAGGTTGACTAAGGAGAAGTTCAAATAAATGGATAGTGTTGAGATTCTTCCACATCCACCATTCAGTCCCAATGCTGCTCTGAGTGACTGTAGCCTATTCCGCTCAATGGGACACTTCCTCTGCAACCAGAGATTAAAGACTTTTGATGAAATGAAAGAAGCTTGTTTAGAGATTTTTTGATTCAAAGCCAGCAGATTAATTATCTGGAACAGATTTGGATGCTGGCTGATCATTGGCAGAATATTGGCAAGAATGATGGACTTTATTTTGAAGAATAAATTTTGGTGTTGCTCCATAAAATTTTGTTGTTTTCTTTCCACTGCCTAAGTGAATCAGGATATTCTGGCCAATCTAATATTAAAACAGATACTAGTTAAAGATCTCAATAAAGAAGATTCATCTGATATGATAATTCAATTACCCAAAACGGTAGCCTTTTAAAAAATGCATGTAATACATATCGCTTTTTATATAAATATTCTTTTTTTCTCACCATAACTTTCTTTCATTTTACTTTGCTATATGAAATCAACATATTTTACATTTTATTTTAACATCATTCCTATGTACAAATCTCATTGATTTAGCCATGGATATTTTTTAAATTTTAGTAACAGTTAAAATTTTTCAAGTTAACTAGTATTTTTAAGTAGTAGGACTGACTTTCTCACAGATTTGTTTTGCAGTTATTTTAAGATAATGCTATCATGAAAAGAGTGAAATGTCAACAAGAAATAAATTTAAACATTCAACCGGTCTTCACATATTCTATCCTTATGTAATTTGTTTGGATATTTCAAATCAGTTATTTATCATTGAATAGGAAGGAGACAAAATTAGAAATATGGTTCTACAGAAGGATGCTGAGAATATTATGGGCCAAAGATGTGAGCAATGACAAAGTTTTAGAGAAAATAGAAACAAAAATATCACTTATACTTAACATCAGAAAGAGAGAGTTGAAATGTCCAGTGTACATAATGATGAAAAAAGGCTTGGAAAATTAAATACTCAAAAGACAGATTAAAGGTAAGAGGGAGCAGAGAAAAACAGCATATAACCTACCAAGTGATCTAGAGTGGCAGAACACAGTTTAGAAGAGATAACAAAAAGATAAAATTTATTTTCATTATTACATTACTATCTATTATTATTTTATTTACTATTATTATTTTTATTTACTATTATTATTACTACTACTACTATTTTATTTACAATTACTATCATTATTATTACTACTATTATTTTTATTTACTATTACAATTATTACTACATATTATCATTATTACTATTATTTTATTATCACTAGATTTTATGATTATTATTACTATCACTATTATTATTAGTTATTTTATTATTAAAATTATTACTACTATATATTATTACTATTATTATTTACTAGTATTATTACTATTATTATTCACTATTGTTACTATTTATTTTTAATAATAATATAACTATTATTTATTGTTGTTATTACTATTAATATTATTTACTATGATTGTTACAATTACTATTATTATTATTTTAGTTGCTGTCACACATTGAAATGGAAATTGTGTTCTTGAGGAATGGTGTCAACAAGATTCCTTGCAACTCAAGAACCTTTTGGGGAATCTTTGCAGAGTAAATGATGACAGTTTTCTGGACGTCCACAATCTTTCTCTAAATTCCATTTCTCTTGAAGCACTTAATTCAGTTTTCTAGATAGTGTTCCAAGTACACACAATTACAACAGGAATTAGTTCTACATGCAAGTTCCAGTCTTCCTTCTTATTATTGCTTATTATTAATACTAGTTCTATTATTACTACTGACAATACTCTTCATTTGATCATACATACTTTTTATCTTGACTCAAATAAAGCATTTTGTGTTGTGAAGGATCAGTTTGGAATCAGAAAATAAATGTCTCTCATGTTCTAAAGCAAATAAAACATGAAATATTAAGGAGTGATTTGTTGGTTATTTTCATTTTGGTATATTCTAAGATCAATGTTTGATTTTACCATGGAAAAAGATCCTAATAAGAGAATTTCTCTTCTAAAATAGGGTGTCGGCCTAGACATGACGTATAAATTACTGATTAATGTTCGATTGTATGATGAAAATAAAAAACAAAATAACATGAATATATACACACTGATATCCCGTAGAAATATTAAGAATTCATCTTCCTCCAAACCAAAGGTATGTTCAGGTTTTGAGAGCATTCGATATAAGGTTCCTTCTGAACAATATTGCATTACTAACACATGCATGTTGCCTGAAATCTGGAGAAATAAGAAAAAAAAAAAGAGAAAACACGAATTTTACAATATATTCAGCAGTGTGGATTGACCTCAGATACTGCAGGTCAGCATTATATATAGGCCATATTAAAAAAATATATTTTTTAACATTTCAATAAAGCATTTGAATTTGAGTAGTGAAAAAATATTATTATTGTTGTTTTTGTTTTTGATGATGCTTTTGACTTAAAAAGTAAAACAAAAATAAGGTGTATTTAAAGTGAATTTCAACCGTGACTCTCTAAGGAATTTCTTTTGATAAAAGATAGTCAACATCTTCAATAAAATCAGTTTTGCCATTTGTCAAATATATTGAGAATGAAATGCACTTGCACATGTTAAGAGATGCTAAACAGTAAGATTTGTATCACAATGTACCATAGATTTATAAAAGTTGTCAAAATGATAGTTAAATTATTTTTTTTTTTAATTTCAAAAAAGAATTAAGTAGAGAAGAATATTAGTACATATTAAATATACCAACAATATGACTTTTTTGTTTTGGGGTCATGTTTATATGTTATAGATCTTTCTTTACCTACCTTCAGGGTTATAGTGATATATTTTACCAGAGGTTAGTTATCTTGAAGCTTAGGCAAACAAGAACTGATTTTGGAAATTTCCAATTTAGACAATAATCAATTGCCACTACTCACCTCTGGTTCCATTGCAAACAGCTGAACAACATTATTGTGGCAGAGCATTTTAAGTACAGCAAATTCCCGTTGCTGTATCATCAAAGTCCTTGAGTCGGACGGTTGAGTGAAGACTTTCACTGCTACCTCTTCCCCAGTACACTGAAAGAAGATAATATTGAGACATCTTGAAACTTAGATCTACACACTTAATTTTCAATGGTGTATTAAATTAGGAGTTTGATTGACAGTATGATTAACAATAAGAGTACGATAAGGGTCTCTAGCTACTGTATTACAAGTACACTATTTTGAAAGTGATGGAATCCAAAAGATGAAAAATTTTAAAGTTACTTCACAATATAAATTTATTCAACTGGGTTTTTTTTTCATTTAAGCTCTTCAAAATTGATCTGTAGCAGAAGTGTTAATCCTACAGCTAAAAAAGCCAATTGCAGTATCTCATGGCCAAAGTTTAAGAAGACATTTTATCACAAAAAGTAAATTATTAACCCACATCATCATATAGAAAACACAAAGCAGTTTTTATGGCATTTTTTTTTTTGCTTTTTGTTATTTATTTTAATCAAGCTTGAATGAAAATATAAAAATAGAAATAGCCTTGTCAATGCCTACTCAAAACTACAGGGCGCGATGAGTAAATTGCTGCTATTTTATATTTTTAATTTTGTGCATGTGTGTTATTTGTTTTTGATTTTGTTGTCTGCACAGTATCGAAGGGTCAGTTGGACACTGGCTTTGAGAGAAAGAGCATCAGGACACAATTCATTTTACAAGAAATTTGGAAACAGCATGCTGCACTGCTTGATATTCACATTAGAAGCACCAATACAAACATTTCAGCATGTTTGGGTATGTTAATCTGAGGACAGTGCAGAGGATTCAGAATAGAGTTGAATGAGTATAATGGTGATTATGAAAGTGTTTGAAGTGATCAATATTGATGGCGATATTATGCCTCCATTCTTCTTTCCACAGGGCCTCAGACTCAACACAAGAGCCTTGAGGAGTTAATGCTACCTTGGGTCAAGAGGATGCCTAATGAAAGATCCTATGTCTGCAAACAGAACTATGCACCATGCCACACAAGCAGGAGAACCTAGTCATGGCTGTCAGACAATTTTTGGGACTACATCGCCCCTTACATATGGCCACCTAACTCCTCAGACTGTAACCCCCTTGATTATCATGTGTGGGGTTGCAGTTGAGCAAAAGATGAACAAAACTCCTTGTAACAAGAAGAAAGAAGTGAAGGCAAGGATTCTGGCAGCATTTCCTAACTTAAACAAGGAAACCATCCAGAAGAGTTGCATAAAATTCTGAAATCATTTGGAGGCCATGGTTGAAGCCAATGGCAATTTTATTGAATAAATTTACTCTTTAGTATTTCAAGATTTTTTTTTTTGTATAATTTACGCGACAATTTATCCATCGCACCCTGCATAAACAATATTGTTTTCTTTTTAATTTTTAGGAGTCATCATCTCAAAAATAGAAACAATTTTGGTTTTTGAGATAAAGTTTTCATTTGTGTCTCCATTATTTCATTCCCCATCATTAAATTAATTTTTAATTTGAATTATGTTCAGATAATTTCAAAACATAGTTATTCATATTACTGGCAATGTAAGATTTTATAAAACTTTGGATCCTGTCTGAACCAAAAAGAGGTTTGCAAATTGCAGACAAATTCTCAGTCATTTAGAAACTATTATTTTACTTGAAATTTCTGCTTCAATTGGAAACAAAAAATATTTCCAACTTTTCAAAATGATTTACTTTAATATCTACATATCTTTATACATACAATATAGATGTACATACAGGCCTACATTTTGTTTTTGAAAAGGAAATAATATTTGATTTCTAAGTCAGTGTGGATGATTTGTTCCTATTTTCATAACCATTCAAAATATATATAAATAGATATGAGACAAATGGACTTTCTGGTTTTCTTATAAATGATAAACAATTGAAAAGGCATGAAAACTATAATTTCTACCCTGCAACATGGTAGCATCATATTCAATAGGACAGAATTGTATTGCTTTAGAAATAAGTATAAATAAAATGCAACATTATTAAAGTGATACAGTACAACCAACATAAAGGGTTAAAGGTCAAATCAAGTCAAAAAAGCATCATGTGACCCCTTGGCCATAAAGTCTTGAGAAGGCAGATTGCTCAAAAGAAGCAAGAAATTTGATGTGTACATCAATTTTAGAGAAACAAAGAAAACTATATTAGCTCCATTGTTAAAAAAAAAAAATACTGTTTTTAAATCTATATCTACTCATAGGAGATGGTGGCCAGGCTATTCTACAGATGTCGAAGAATATGTAAAAGGGTGTAAAATGTGCATTGAAAGAAGGAAATTTAAAAACACATACATGGCCTAAAGAGTCCCAACCTTACATGGTACAAATGGATGATGCCCATGATAATTGAGTGAGATTATTACGAATATTTGTAGATTCGTATTCAGGCTGACCAGAAGTATTACAGGTCTCCAACAAAAGAGGTTTGACTATGAAACAAGTGTTAAGGATCATGTTTTTAAGAAATGCAATTCTGAAAATGCTAGTATCTGATAACATCCCAGAGTTCTTTGATGAGAAACTCAGCCAACAGTTGAACAAAATACCATCATGCCAAAATCATTTTTACATTCTCTCATCATTAAAAAGTACAGATTGGAAATAGTCTTAAGCAAGTGTTTTAGGCACATAATATCAAGTGCCTTCAAAATTATATTGTGCCTTCAAAATTATATTATAACTTAAAATTTGGTAGCAAAAAAAAAAAAAAAAAAAAGAAAGTGATACCTAAAGTTTAAGATGCATTTTAAAAATGAAAAATCTTTCTTGAAGCTTTTAACTCAAAGCTAATGAATTAAATGTAATATTTCCAATAAGTAAAAATCTATTTCAAGCCAAATTCAAATTGATTGGAATTATTTTTTCTTCTGAATATCAGTAAATAATGATAAAATTATTCATCTTGACAAGACTGTCAATACAACATAATTCTTTATTAAAAAATCTCTCCAAAATAAAAGATCCTTTTCTTAAACATTATTTGAGTAAATTTTAGCAAGCTGAATAGTTTTAATTTAATAAAAATATCACTTGACCACTAAAAATTAATACAGAGTTTTAATAGATTTAAAAGTTTATAAATTATTCTAAGAGAAAAAAAAATGAAACAATTATTGTAAAAAAATTCATTATTCATTAAAATTTTTTTGTAAGACAATAGTATACATATTATTTTTTTTATCATAAAAGCAATTAAAAAGCTTTTCTAATTAAATAAAGTCTTAGTTTTATTGTATTTTTTATTTTATGATTCATAGCAGATTTTCTGTAATCAGGGGTCCTGTTTGACCAAAGAAATTTGATGATTTAAATTCTCTGAGGTCCTCATAACTAATATTAACATTAATGAATTGCTCAAAATTTCATAAAATTAGATGAGTGGGGTAGTAACAGCTGTATGTATGTATGTATATATATATATATACTAAAACTTTCTAAAAAGTAAATGTTTAAAAAATAATTTAATTCATTTGTGAAAAAGTCCTGAAAGTTTTATTAAATTCCAACAATTTTTGGTTTTTACAAGAATTTCTAAATAAATGTTTTTCTTTGATATCACAAAGACTTTGGCAATAAATCTTTGTATGATTTTTTTACAGTACTCTTTGGAGAAAGTAAATCATCAATTTTTTTTTTTGTAAAGCAGTTACCAGTTTCATAAAAAATCTGCTCTGAATTGTAAAATAAAAAATGCAATAAAACTATGACATTATTTAATTAGAAAAGCTTTTAATTGCTTTTGTAAATAAGATATATTAAGGCCTGAAGAAATAAAATTTTTCAATGAATAATGAATTTTTACAAGAATTTTTTCATTTTTTAAAAATTGTAATTATAATAATATAATAGTTTAAAAATCATTTAAAATTCTTCATTGCTTTCAAGACAATGGTTTGGTGATATCATTAAGTAAAACGTACATTTAAGAACCAAAATTTGAAAAGCCCATAACAGTCATATGTACTCAAATATTTTTAAAATAATTTTTAGTAAAAAAAAACTTTCCTAATTTCAACCCATGGGAATCTATACATGACATAATCCTTAAAAAGGTCATGTGATTTAAGTGTAGTCTGACGCAGTGCAATTATTTCACTTTTAATTCTGTTCTGTTTCATTGCAAATCATCCCTTCAAAACATCAAAAAAAGTTTTACTTTTCTTAATTGCTATTTCACTAAATATTTTTATTTTATGGATTTATTTTAGTTTGAGTTATACTTCAATTGATTAATTTTTTAATTAAGGTAGTAAACTTTAAAAACCTAGAGATGAAATACAAATTTCATAAAGCTTCTTGAAACCTAACTAAAAATCAATAAAATATTAAATAACTACCGAAAATATGTTAATTTGAAAAAATTACTAGTTCGTTAAAAACTAAAAAAAAAAAAATGCATTCACTTAGATTTTGTAAATTTATGTCATTTCTGGCCATCCATAAGAGCTGTCATCACTTTGAAAGCTTCTCGATAAATCAATAAAGATCAAAGAAAGAGGGAACTCATCGTTAAGAAATGCTTGTATATTGTTTTTTATGCTATAAGTAATATTTATTTCAAATCAGATTAATTTAACTTTAAATTTTCTAATTTTACTCAAATAACATGTCACAAAAAACTGGTAAATTTGGTTGTTTACAAATTTCTTAAAATTAAGAAAATGGCCACTTTTAAAATTTAAAAAAAAAAAAAATCCAGCAATTATTTGACATTCGAATCTATATAATTTCTATCTGAAATACACCAGAATATTTTACTTAATGGAAATAATAAATTTAATCATTTAGCTTTCAATTAAAACTAAAATAAAATGAAATCTTAATTTTTTTAAATTTTTAAAATTTATATTTAACCTTAGGTATCAAAAATTCAGTAGAGGTGCCTACATTTCTGCTATCAATTCTTATTCTTGAGAGAATGTTTCAAAGTGGACACCAGGGATCAACTTTATTTCTAGAAAAAGTGCATGCATTTCCTGATGTCAGTAATCACAGACATTTTCTCTGAAGTACTTATATCAATCAGGTTATATATGCAAGTTTTATTGGTTGGTGAGGGCAGAAATAAATGTCTACTTACCTTTTTTTTTGTCCCATGTAAACAATACTTGTGGCTCCAGGACCGAGAACATTGTTCATGTCCCAAACATAATTTTTGGTCTCTCGAAGTTGGCGTGAGGACATGTTTTGCAAATGGCCTTTTAAATTCTTTTCTGGGGAGTTTTTTAAAGTCTGTCTTGAATTGTGTGTCTTCAGTATTGTTAAAATCAAATAAAATGTACAGCTGAATGTATTTAATCATTGTCACATTGCACAGTCAATGGACTAAAAAAGAAAAGAATTAGCCGATAATTCTAGTCATTAATGATCTGAAAATAAAACAAAAAACAGAATATGAAATGGTCATAATACGATAAGAGAAAATAAATAGTAGCTTAAAAACAAACAACAAAAAAAAACTGCTGGATTCTGGGTCCTAACGACTTGCTCTGAACTGAACATTATGGCATAAAATTTCATAAGTGCATGAACAGTATTAGAACTCCAAACTTTACTTATTTCCCTAATGTTGTCTCGCCTACATTTTACACCCGTAACTTAGTAATAAAAAAAAATAGAATTATCTCCCTTTGACCATTTTAAAGTTGAAGGACAATAGTTCGAATATAAACATCCATTTTTTAAAAAATTTTACTTTTAAAGTGTGGTCAAGAGGGTCCTAACTACTTGCTCTGAACATTATGCATAAAATTTCATAAGTGCATGAACAGTATTAGAACTCCAAACTTTACTTTTCTTCCCTAATGTTATCTCCCTACATTTTTTTACACCCGTAACTTAGTAAAAAATAAAAAAAATAATAGAATTATCTCCCTTTGACCATTTTAGTTGGGTAAAACAAAGTGAAGGACAATAGTTCGAATATACACATACATTTTTTTTTTTTTAATTTTACTATGTTTAAACTGTGGTCAAGAGCTTTTCTAATTAAATGTTTTACATTTATTTTTTTATATTAGTTTCAGTTTATTCAGTGCATATTTTGTAAACTAAACTGGGGTTAGTGTTGCCAGATTGACTTTTTCAATGCCAAATTCCTGAAATCTGACACTTTTTTTATATTGGTTTGGCTCCAAAGAATTTTTTTTTTTAAACATTATAAAATAGGCTTGTCCCAGGTAACGGTAAAAAAAGTGGTATACCCTGGAGAAAAAAGGTCCCCAAATGGCTAAAAAATTTTTAACATGTAAATGTTTATGTTAAAATTAAAGAGGGAAGACCAAAGTATTTTTTTTATTTTTCCAGATTTTTAAATCCTTCCTATAAATTTTAAAATTTTTTTTTAAAATTCGTTTTTCTTGAATAAAAAAAAATAAAAAATTCGATTTATCGGACATTTCTGCCGAGTTTGTAAACAAAAAAAATCAAACTTAGTTCAAAAATCAATTAAAATTTTTTAAAAATCAGTTATACCTTTTTTTGTGTTATCTTAGGAAATTTAGAATGATTAAAGTATACTTAATGTAATTTGAAAGAAACATTACTTACTTTTTTAGCAGAAAATTTTTTAATAGAGATATTTCCAACCGTGGTACTTTTCTCGCGCGGGTGCGTGTTTGAGGGGTGTTAATTGATGCCTGTCAATATATTGACAACTTACGTCAGGGGAATTTATCGTACGGTAGCACAGAAGTGATATAATTCGTTCTAATTTTAAGTGAACCTGGTTAGTAAATTAAAGAAAATTCACTTTCAATTTTTTTTTTTTTTTTTTTTTTAACTTTACGTTTGGGGAAAAATTCTGCACTGAAAATAACATTTAAATTATGGAAAAAAAAATTTACAAGTAAAAATTACAAATAAAACAGTAACATTTTTTTTTTAAATTGATTTTTATTACTTGTCATGAAATATTTTTCTGAGAATATAAAAATTACATGAAACATTTATTTAAATTTCATAATTGAAACAGGTTAACTTAATGAAATGAGATTTTATTTCTTTTTATTAAGGCAGATTTTTTTTTTATGCTATTTATTAATACTTGTGATATGGCAGTCATGGGAGTTTTATACATATTTTATTTATTAATAACATTGAAATGCTATGCAATCGATTTCAAACTTGAAAATTCAAATGCACTTCCAAGGATGTTTTTTTTTTATTTATTTATTTATTTATTTTTTTTGTAATTGTAAATGATCAATATTTTGTTTTAGCCCACTTTTTACCCATAGCTGTGACCCTTTCAGGTGCTACCACTTGGGTCAAAGGGACCTTTAACAACAGCAATTAAGAGGTGGTTCCACGCTCCTCAAGACCTCCGTTTTTTTTTCAATTGTTTTTAGTTTCAATAAAGTTAAAACTAAAAAACAATTTACGGCTCTCACTATAAAACAGTAAATAAAACAAAGTAAAGAATATACAGTGAAAAAACAAAAATAAAAACCTTAACTCTTGTCCCCTAAAAAACCCTTCGCCGTTTCCGTAAAAAAAAAAAAAAAAAAAAAAAAAATGAATAAAACAAAAAAAATGAAATAATATTTTGCAGTTTGTCTCACACTGAAAAAAGAAAAATTGATTATATTTAAAAACTGAAAAGAAAAAGGAACAAATTGATATTTGAAAACAAAAAAAATTGAAAATGCGACGATATTCACTGATTACGTCAGAAAAATTGACAAGAGTGGTTAGTTGTCAACAGAAAGAATGCGAAGTAATTTCTAAAGTTAAAAAGAACTTGCTTCTATCAAGGGAAACAACTCTAAACATTTGACGTTATTTCAAAGCTGTGCATCCGTACTTTCGTTGGAGACGATATTAAATACAATTTTGGAATATTAAAAAATTATTTTAAAAATATCACCGGTTGTCAGATTTTAATAAGCTTTCAAATTTATGATCTTCAAAAAAGTAGAGAATAAAATATGTCAATGCCATGACTATGCAGAAAAGCAACAATAATTTTAAAATATATTTTAATATTTTGTGAATTTTGTCATTTGTTTTTTTAAAATAAAAAAAAAAAAAAAATTATTGTAAAAATTCATTTTTTTCAAAATTTTTTTTTTTTTTTCAGGTAAGAATTACCTTAGTATATGTTATTCAGAAAAGTCATAAAAAATTTTTTTTTCGAATTAAATATTGTCTTAGTTTTATTGGGTTTTTATGTTTTTTACAATTGAGGTAAAAAATTTGGACAATTCCGCTCTTGTTTTTTACCAATAAAATCGATGATTTAGAATCTTCAGAGTCTTGTGCATTTAATGAAAAAAAAAAAAAATCCAGATGCAAAAATAAATTTTGAAGTTTTCATAAAATTAAGTTCGGGGGTGTAACATATATAAAAAAAAAAAAAACATTTATACTATGACTTTCAAAAAGACAAACATTTCTAAAATAATTTCATTCATTTGTGAATAAGTTCTGAGTATAAAAATTGGTTGATTTTTTTTTTGCAAGATTTTCCAAATCAATGTGTATTTTCCAACTGAAAATAGTGAAAACAAAAAATAATGCTAATTTAACCTAATTTTGACCTAAAAAAAAAAAGGTTTTTTGCAAACTAAATTTAAAAATGCTTTTTTTTTTTAAAAATAATTAAAAATACCTTGGTCTTCCCTCTTTAATTTTAACATAATCATTTACACGTTAAAATTTTTTTTTCAATTTTTCACCTTTTTTCTCCAAAATAAAATTTTTAGCGTTACCTGGGACAACCATCTATATATATAATATATATAATATGAAATATGGTTGTCCCAGGTAAATAAAAAGTGGCTTAAAATAAAAAAATATATATATATATATATATATATATATATATATATATATATATATATATATATATATATATATATATATATATATAAGAAAAAAAAAAAAAGTTCGATGTTTTTCTGATCGTTAACATCCAAAAAGGTAGGTTTTTTTATCTAATTGTTGATTTGAGTTAAAAAAAAAAAAAAATACTCCCACGTTTAAATAACTAAGGCCAAATTTTGACTCCGCCGCAGTGATTTTAAAAAATAAGCTGGTAATAATAGTGGACGAAAGACAAACAAAAGTCCGATTTTTTTTTTTTTTTTGTTTTAACTACAAAAAGGTAGGTTTCTTCGTATAACTACTTATTAATTTGGATTCAGCATGTACTTTTTCACGGAATTAAAGTGACGATTTTTTTTTAAATTTTTAAGGGTTTTTTTTTGCGCCGGATTTAAAACCAAAATTTACCATAATAAATAATAAAAAAAAAAAATAGCGGCTGTCTGTACAATAGATACCATCCATCCCTTCCATATACAACTTTCAGCTCATAGTTAAAATAGCTCTACTCGCTATTACTATTTTTTTTTTAATAGTCTGACCTTACTTTCAGCTGTTTTAGTTAATAATTGCTGATTTGATTGTTTTTCACATCAAAATCAATTATTATTTGAATCCCCCCACCCTACAAACTGAATTCCGAAGGTTGTTAAAAACTTGTAGAGAAGAGAAAAGTTTCTAAACGTAAGTTTTTTTTTTTTAAACCGGCGCATCCAGAGCTTCAGTTCTTTTTTTTTCAGTTTAAGAAAACATAGATTTCCTTTTCTTGATATTTTTTTAATAATTTGTATTTTTTTCATTTTAATGCATTTCATAAAAACTTTAAAACCATTGTTAGTTTTTCTGTAAATTTAATTTTTATTTAATTATTAATAATTGCAACAGTCTCTAACTGTTGTCATCTTTAATTATCAGAAAAGTTAAACTTTAAAAAAAAAAAAAAAGTTTTTCATTTTATAAATTTATCTGGTTGTGTTTACTTTTTAGTGCAATGTAAAGTGTAATCAAAAAAAAAAATTCATCAAGTCTTTGGCACCTTGAATACCTTCTTTTTTCAAACGTAACAAAAAAAAGAATCGATCCAGTTTTTTGTTTTTTTCTTAAAAAAAAAAAAAAAAAAAGTAGAGGAAACTTTGCATTTTTCAATAGTGACCTGACATTTTTTATCACCCCATATAAGGACAATTAAAATGCCAAGAAGACACAAAAAATGAAAATACAAGTTAAAAAAAAAAAAATTCTACTACAAAATAAAAAAGTTTACCTGATTAAAATTGTCTATAATCAAAAACGATGAAATAGTTTAACCAAAAAAAAAAATTTCTGGTTTCTCTTCAATTTTTGTTGTAGTGGCCATCTTTTGTACTACACATGTGGTAGTGGCCATTTAGTGTAGCTGTTTTCGGTGAAGGGGAAAACCCATTAGAAATTCTTGCAAAATCAAATAGTCTGATTTTAATGAAACTTTCAGGACTT